ACGGGAGCAGGGACATAAGAAGTCTCGACCGTGCTTGTCCAATCACTCCAACTCGCGACTGGCGCTGGTGTGCTCTCCACGGGAGCAGGAGTGTACGAAGTCTCAACGGTGCTTGTCCAATCATTCCAACTGGCGACTGGAGCTGGCGTGCTTTCAACGGCAGCAGGAGTGTACGAAGTCTCAACGGTGCTTGTCCAATCGTTCCAACTCGCGACTGGCGATGGGGTGCTCTCAACGGGAGCAGGGACGTATGAAGTCTCGGCGATGCTTGTCCAATCGTTCCAAACAGAAGAGGATGAGACGGGCGCTGGAGCCGGGGCTGTCGACGTAGTCCCTGCGAAAGCCTGTTAGACAATGTCGAAGCTGGAAGCAAGGAAGGGATGATCGCAGAAAGGACAGCCATTCGGGAGGCACGGGTCACCTACAATCGTTCCAAACGGTCGAAGTGGTTTCAATAACGGGCGCAGGACTCGTCGTAGTGGTCCCTACGAAAGCCCTGTTAGATAATGTCGTAGTTGGGGGGGAAGACGGGGCCACAAGGGAAAGGCAGTCACGGGACACCTACAATCATTCCAGACGGTCGTGCTGGTTTCAACAACGGGGGTTGCACTTGTGGTGGTGGTCCCTATTGAGTGGTTAGAATCAATCTTGGAATATTGTCCTAGACAGGTCTTCAATGCGACCTGGATAGGAGGATGATAATGCTCACAATCAGACCAGGATGACTCGACGGTGGTGGTGGTGGTGGTGGTCGTCGTCGTCGTCGTCGTGCTGCTTGAGCTGGTCCCTAGAAGGTGTCAGATTATCAATCGAGACTGGCGTACGCTGTGAAAGCTGGGTGGGATCGAGCTCACAGTCCGACCAAGTAGGTGAAGGAGTCGTAGATGTTGCTGTGAAGATGTTAGACGCCGAACAAACTTTGGACATTCGATCTGGCAGAAGCCTGCGGATGGCGAACACGGACACTTTGGACATCTTGGTCTCGTCCATGCCCTGTCATCTTGGGGGAGAGGACTCACTCGTCGTTGTAGTAGCTGCTGCACTGCTGCCCCAGTCGCTCCAAGTGTTGGTGGCGCTGGCGAGGCCAACGATGGCCCAGAGTGGTGCAACCTTCATGTTGAAGACGAGGTGTTTCGCGGATATGCTACAGCGCGAGTGTGAAGTAAGGAAGCGAACGTCTAGAGCCTTAGCGAAGGAGCTCTGTATGCTTGATCTGTTCGGTGACGGGCTGGACAAGTGAAAGAGAAGCTGCACAGCCGCTGAATGGGATATGCACGGTTTTGTAGGACTGGACCTTGGATGGAGGGCACCACTGCCCACTTTTCCTCGGTCATGCTCTTTGTTCGTCGACCCTGTCATGCGAGCAGGACGACTGTACCACAGTAAAGGCTGCTCTCCACCTGTTCCGTACAGAACAGGTCGTGATGTCTCCGGGGATCTGGCAGCGTGCTGTATCGTTCCCATGCAACCAAGCCTGTTCCTCACAGCATCATGTCATAGTGGAGTAGAACGTCGGCAGGGGTGGATACTGCAAGGTCGCACTCGGTTTTGCCGGCCACGAGGGTTAAACTGGGTGGAGCTACCCAGTCCACAAGTGAACAGCACCTGGACCAAGCAGGTACTGGGTACTTCCCATCCACTCAGAGGTCGAAGGGTCTGCCGCTAGTCGAAGAGGGTAGCGTGTCAGGTGCTAAGAAGCCTTGTCTTTCTGGAGGCTGCCGAAGGCACCGAAGTGTGCATCCAACCGGATGAAGGGACGCAGCAACGAGGGTGCACATCACGGCTGGCACAGCTGGAAGAAGGATGCGACAGGAACTGCCATGTAGGGACTCCGAGCAAGCCACATAGGATCTCTCCGAGCCGGGTTCGAGCCATCCGCACAGTTTGGAAAACTATCGGGCTCCGAAGCAGCCACATTCCGTAGCTCACCCAACAAGTTGAAGGAGTGCTGAGTATGTTGCATCGCAATGGCTCGAGCTGCACGAGAACAGGGAGCAACATTCGCAGGGTTTAGCAGCGCCGCGGCCATCACCACAGTTCTGGGTCGCCCGAGCTGATGTTACGGGGTACTGTGTGCCCATTCATCAGCTCGCACCCAGATCGTGGAGCAGCTATGACGAAGGTGAAGAGCTCTGTGAGCTTGCAAAGTTTTGCCCATCGGTTCCTATCACTGCTCAACGGCAGCCAATCGATAAGATGCAGGCAAGCGCCGATGCAAACGCCACTTGCGGAGGAGCGCGTTGGGCTCAACTTTCGATAGTGCAGAAAAGCAGGTCCACGGGCGAGTGACAGCCATGAACGGCGTAGTGCAAATGCGTAAACTTTTATGTGCACCGTACACAGTACTTTTGAGAGCTTCGTGGTGGCAGTCATAATCCTACTCAGTACAATTCCAATGTTGTTCTGGACGAGCTTTAGGAACGACGTGGGACTCGAGGATTGTGCACATGCGGCACGGATGTGGCAGAGGGCCAGAAAGCAGGAACATGGAGCCAGGAAAAATGTTGCGTGACGAGGTCACTGGTTAATGGTCGTCATTGGTGATCAGATGATGGAAGCCCGCAAAAGCTTAACCGGGCAATTGCCAATTGCCGTGCGGTGCCTGGCCAGCAATTGCGCCCCGCACCTCGCTAACATCGCTAGTGCTGCTAGAGTGAGACATGCAGGTTTTCGTCTCTTCACTCGTCCGTCTCGCAGGCCCTCGACTGAGCCTCTCCACACACCCACCTGCAGGCTGCAGGCTCTGCCTGTTATCGGTGCATGGCATCATCATAACCAAAGTGACGAGATCCTTCGCCCAGCATCCATGACCTTCTCTGTGGCCGTCGTCCAGAGTACACAGTAAGTCCTGGGCACCTCGTACCTCGTACAGTATCAAAGGGAGTGGACCGGTAGTGCAAGATGCTTCTCGAGGCGGGGGCGGATGTCCATGCGCTGGGAGAACGCTATTGCAATGCGCTGCAAGCTGTATCGAGGGGCGATCACAAGAAGGTGGTGCATATACTACTTGACAAGATAATGTCACATTAATCAAGGGCCTCAATCCTGTAACACTACTCTCAGTAGTCGAATATTGCGCCACTCTAGAGATTGCTGCATGTCACATTGAGCAACAGTGAGAAGATGCCAAGCATCATATGCCAAAAGTCACAAGAGGATAAGAGTCACATGATGCCAAGATATGGGACGCAGGGACAACAATGTAAATGCTATTGCAGCTCCCTGCTCACCATTTGCAGCATTGCGCTTGAATAGAAGCCGTCACAACGCCAAATTGACATAGATCAGATTAGCAAGCAATCGCTCCGTCTGATCATGCCAAGCTTGCGCCGTCTCCGATGTCACATACAGGTCAGGTCATGTCAACGCTGGAAAACGTTGCCAGAGAAGAGCACGAAGGAGAGCAGGCGATATAGAGCAACTACCAATGTCCTGCCAAGAAGTGGCCAAAGATTTCGGATACGCCTATGGTGTGAATCTGTGGTTCATCCTCACCTACAAGTGTAAGCCTTATTATTCTGTCAACGGAGGTAGCTCGACGGCTGAAATGTGACGCAGGGTAGTTCTCTTTGGTGATAAGCCTCAAGTTGACCGTATCAATGGTACTCCGTTCACTCCAGAAGTTCCTTCGAGCCAGTGGCCGCGGTTTACTATAGCTTCTTGCGAGTATCTAAATCAGGACGCGAAATGGGAGACAAAAGATTTTCTTTTTGATGCGCCAACGGAATTTATGGCCGAGCCGTACGCCGTGAGGATCGACGTATATACGTGCGAGAAGATGGCAAATATACCTCAAGAGTCCGACCTGATGGAAAAAATAGGGTTTGGCGGTGTTCGACTTGGAAACCAAAATCTGAGGAAGCGTAAAAGAGGCGGAGGCTGCAGAATACGTACGCCGTATCTCGACGAGCTCCCATATGCCACGTTCATTTTCAAATGTCACATCCGCAACATTGCCAGAAGAGGTCGGAAAGTCCAACGTCGACTTTTGACGAATAGCACCAGTTTGCACACAGCAGAACGCATGCAACATCTGCAAGAGGGGCCAGGAACATGCCTAACTAGTCGTGAGACGCCAAGCAGTGAAGATGAGGGTGTTGGCTTCTCTCCAGTGGCGCAGGAATATCACAATCGTCTCAATGATAGTCCAGTTCCAGTGCTCGGAAGCGCAGGAATCACTCTAAGTGGCGCATCTATCGACGGCGTAATATTCAATACCCGATCATCCTCTTCCCTACCAAGAGCTGTGATGAGCTCTACGCCAGAGTTGATGTCTCAGGAGCAAGAACCTGAGGTAGATGCTCTCACTTTGTTGGTGGAATCGGAAAGCTCCAGAAACACGGTCTCAGCGGTCGAGGATCTCAGAATGAGAGTTGAACATCTCGAGGCCACGCAGATGCGGATCTTACAACATTTGCGAATTCCGGCGACTTCGGTATTCGACGGGGCTTACGGTAATGCCTAACTTACCTCAGGGTTCCAGCGCGGGCGTTGAGATACAACGCACTAGGGCCAGATTTTCAACAACCTAGTGCTGTTGAGATTTAATGTAAGCTTCGTGCCTACATCTTTGAGAAATGAGACCACGAGGCAAAGATGTTGATTGGCAAATATCTCCGAAAACAAACGAGGCGGCCATAGTCATTCTGTTTAATATTCCGAAATTGTACAAGGTGCTCCAGTGTGTTGGCAGCCTGGATCTACCCCATTACGCCTTTGCTCTATCCATTCGTAGAGGAGCCTGCTTCTACTTTCTACATAAAGCCATTCTGGGGATTGCAGCACAGATCTGGATATAGGATAAGAACACTCATACCACATAATAGTGTAACGCATGCAGCAGGCTGATTCTTTCCGGGAATCGTACGGTAACATCCATTTGATACTAGCAAAACACTCCGTAAATGATTCACTGTGGCAGTAGACAAGTTATGCGCCGAATCAGGATTAGTGCGGCGACCCACTTATTTCACTAGCTTCCGTGAAAGGAAGTTGCAATGTGTCAGCAAAGGGGAGGACAGTTTCGGGAACGACTGTATCCAGCAAGGGAAAGAGGAAGAGACTTTTTTTTGAACCGAAGCCACTCGTAAAAAGTACACAGTACGCAGTATAGTTTCAAATGCACTCCTTCGGCCCCTCTCGGTATCGGACACCGGGCGCGTTCACTACTGAGTATCACATTGAACTCCACCTTCGTTGAGCAAGCGTGCCAGCTCCAGGCCCCATGGAGTACTGTGGAGGGGCGTGCTTCACGGGCAGCAGAGGATATTTGCGCCGCCGCTGTTCGACCGTCGGCGCATGCAAGCATAGGTACTCTGTATTGTGTACTGTACCAGCTTGGGCAGGAGCACACATTACTAGATCGGCATTGTCTGCAACAGCGGAGCGCCACTAAAGGCTCGTACACCGTACTATGATAGTGACTGCGTAACTACAGCCCTCCGTAACTGAACCGGCTGATCAACGGCGGTTGGAATAGTCTCGGCCTATTCACATCGAGCGGTGAAGAATGTCGTCCCAACAGGTCGAGGGCATATCGTGTCCACAGTATTCTATCTGGCTCTCGCACAGTTCAACACAGACTGATTGTCCGCTAATCTTCACGCCTTCATCCAGTGTTCTGATCAAATGTCAAAGTACGGACTCGTCACAACAGTGCTGTTACTCCTCAACGTGCGCCTCTTCGGCGTTGCTCGGTTGGACGTTGGTTTGGATCTCCGTCTTGAGATGGTTGTAGTTCGTGATTCTTCATCTTCACCTTCATCGTCTGCTTCTTTTCTCGTTGAAGCAGACGCATTGGGTTCCTTCCTGACTCTTGTGCTCGTCCGTGTCAGTCTCTGTTGCCCTGCGGATTGAGGTGTTGATTTGGGGGTACTGCCACGGGGTCGTCCTGTACGCCTAGGAGTCTTGGGTTTGGTGCGAGCTTTGAGTCGAGAAGGCTTATAACCCTCTGACTCGTCGTCACTGCTGTCATCGTCACTCACGCCATTCATCTCGCTGTCGCTCGAATCTTGTATCCTTCTACTCGATTCACCATCGTCAACAACGCTGTTGGCTACGGCTGCCTCGGAGCTGCTTCTGGAAGTATTGATACTGCTGAGCGGCGCAGAAGAGAGATCGGAGATCTCATCGTCCTCATCTTCTTCGAGACGCAACCGCCCTGGTCGCTGCCGACGGAGTGGGGGTTCGAGAGGAGAGACGGATTGTGGAGTCGGATAGTGAGCTTCACCCGCTCGTTCTGGCACCTTCGAGCTAGAATGTTGCAGCATGTGTGGTGCTTCGATGTCTCGGTCGTCATTGGGATGATACCCAATCTCGAGATCGCTACCGGAATGCTCCTCGTCGGAGTCGGGAAAGAACCCTCCTCCAGCATCATCGTCCTCAGCAGGGTCACCACCTTGCTGTGCCACAGAAACTTCATGGTCACTCTCCACGATCATTGGCTGCCCGGCACTCCTCCCAGTGATCCACTCGTCGATGGCATCCTCTCCGTATGTCTCTTTGACCCTTTCCCTAATCCTGAGCCCTATCACAAACTTTCTCCACGTGTCCAAGACAATTGCCTCTAGTTTCTTCTCTTCTTTCGCCCTCTGCACCTCATTGTACTCGTGCCAGGCATCCGTGACGGCTCGTGCATTCTCTTTCGCCACGACCACACCTGTGCACACGGGCACAGCGCGCTTGTTCCCAAACTCAAAGCCAGTGACGGCCTCGGCGAAATCGATCTCGAGCTTCTTGCAGATGCGCACGGTCCCGCGAAGAGGAATGTGCACTGCGCCTCTGGGCACCATGCTGGGCACGAAGCAGTCGATATTGCCATAGGCGTTCTTGGGGATTTTACCGTCGACAATCGGTGGCGGGACGATATACTCGGTCTGATCCCAGCTATAAAGCCCCTGCATCTGTTTTTCACCCGTCACACGCTCATGTTCTTCGGCTTCGCGTTTTCGAGTTATCGTCACCGCGCGGACAGGCACGAGTTTCAACGGTGCTTCTCCGTTCTTAGGGCGCCGACCTTCTTTGTGCCATGACTCGGCAGTCAAGCAGCGTTCCACGTCTGCGCGGCGGTAAACAGGCTCGTGCTTCAGTTTGTCGCCTTTTCCGGAGATGAACGTACGTACGGGTGTGGCGTTTGTGCGGAGAGCCTCTTCACGGCGGAGGAAGCGTTCGAGGACGAAGTCGGCCGAGGATTTGAGTGATTGGAGCGTGTCAACACTATGGCTCACGTCTTTCTGCTCGTTTCGTTGGGGAGCCAGGTCGGTCGCGTCCTCTATATCATCGACAGGGGTTCTTAGTAAGTCGGGCCGGGCATAGAAGCTCATGAGACGTTTGAACCAGTCGTAGTCTTCGTATCGCTTTACTTTGCCGTGTTTGTTGTAGATTGGAATCTTTTCAATTGGATAGCGGAAGCCTTTAGTTTTGCCAGGCCAGATGTGCTTTTTGAGATATCGTACTGTTACATCTTTAGCTGTCCCATCAGAGGAGTATGCGATTACATAGGCCATAACTGTCTTTGTCTTTTCCGCCTTGATACCACGGGGTTCAAACGCTCCAAGGGTGTCTGGCGTTGTGGCTACCGGAGTACTGAGGACGAGGGGCGAAACGGGGAAGACTTTGTTTGTAACAGGAGAAATGGCTTCAGTCCAGTAGATAGGGAACGGGTGATCGCGATCGTATTTCTGAGAATGCTTCTTTTTCCGAGACGGAGTCACGTCAATGATGGATTCGTCGTCTTCGTCCGACTCAGCGGCTATTCTAGTGGTGGTAGTGTTGCCCCTGTTCTTTGGATGTCCTCTGCTTGTCGTGATCTCCGATATAGACCTGACATCAGCCGAATCGGACTCCTCTGATGATGTATCGGCAGCAACTGCTTGAGCGGGTTTCCTTGGCAGCCTCTGTTCGGCCTTTGTCCAGCCATAGCCGCAGGGTTGCAGACTCGCCACCAGCCTCGCTTCGATGCCCAGACCTCTGAGAAGCGCTGTAAACAGCTGTGCGCCGACGTCCCTCGAGCCTTCGAGCTTCCCGGCAAGCTCACGGAATTCGTGAACATGCATAATCCGTTCGCCGTGACGTTCGGGGTCATATTCGTCGTTCTGTAGGGATTGAACAATCTGTTTACGTTCTCGTATAGTGCCATAACCGCCTTTCCGCAGGCCTGGGGCTGTAATTGAAAAGTTCTTCTTCCAGTAAGCGGCTAACACTTTCAACAGCAATATCAGAGGATCGCCATTGCTCATGTCTGGTTGTCCCTGTTCGAGGCGCTGGCTCGGTCTGCCCCATTCTCGCTCACGACAAAGGTCAGCCGCCACTTGCTTCCCTCGACCCTTACTTTTGGCTGCGTTCGCTTTTACTTTAGACTCCTCTGCCAATGCCAGTCCGCTGCGTCTCTTCCATTTGTCGACTTCTTTCTTGATTGGAGATGGTAAGCTTTGGACAAGAATCTGCTGCACTTCCCTGTCTGATACCCACCTATTCCGAATGGCGTTATGCCAGAGCAGGAACTGTACGTGTAGCTGATGAGTGCAAATCCTAACTTGCTTGTCCCGTTTCGAAGGACCCTTCTTCATGTTGGCCGCTGCCTGCTCAAGCCAGTTCTCTCCGTCATCGTCCCGCTTGCGCAACGTAATCTCGATTGGGCCATCCGACTGCGGCTTGTAGTCTGGTAGATTCTCGTCCTCCCGTTTGTGATTGGCAGCGTCTTCCCACTCTATGTCTTCCTCTTCGTCATCCTCGTGCTTTTGAACAGGAGCAGAGGACCGCTTGCTTTCGTAGGGGACCTCCTCGAATTGATCGCTGTCGACATCGCTCAGAGCGGAATCGGAATCGTCGCTTCCTCCGATAGAGAAGGTCTCCTTCCTTTCAAGACCCGGTACATTCCTCGCCTCTGCATCTAGCACATCTGCGAGTTTTGCCCGCTTCGTAGGTGCCGGTTGAGAGGCAGTGGGTGGCGATACGGACGACCTCTTTCTCGGTATGAAGGGAGGCATTGCGACCGCGCGTCAAAGGTCGATAGAACCACAATTCAGGAGACATACATGGCTGTAGTAAGCCCGGGGAAGTGGCTCTCGTGTTGAATCGAGTCACCGCGAGCGAGACGCGCAAAGTTGCCTCGAATGGTTAATGGGTCTTTCGGGAAACGGTGACGTCGAGAAGACGAAGATTAGGCGAGAGTTGATAATCCCGCAGCTGCGGAACACAGCCCGGACATTCGCCAAAGAATTTGTGAGGGGCCACAACGACTGCAAGCACTGACTGTGTATGGAGTACAGAGCCGTGCGATCAGGTACGACTCTTACTCGTACAGGTAGCAAGCAAGGTGGAAATACGCAGCGGAATACCCGGCAATTGTCCTCTGTCTGAAATTGACCCTCACTTGATCTTCACTTTGACCTCACTCAGTCTCACTTCCACGTCGCGTCGCTCTCGATGGCCGAGGAAACACCGCCAACGCCAATCCACACCTACCACTGCCTCTGCACCACACTCGTCTTGAGCACGAAGCATGACCTACAAACCCTTCCTCGGCGGCAGGAACCCGTGCAAGACGCCGCCCTGATTCTGGCTCCGCCCGTCGACATAACTAGGTCTGATGAAATTGAGCTAGGAAGTGCGCAGACAGCGAGTTCTGTTATGCTCAACGTTGCACCGCAACGCAAACCCGTCATAATTCGAAGGGAAGATGGATTCGAGAGAAGAACGTTGCTCAAGTGTGCCAGATGCAAACTAGTCCTAGGATACAGTCTAGACGAGGCTCATTGGGCGAATGCGGAGGGACGAGCAAGGCCTCTCTATCTGCTCCCTGGTGGTCTGCTCAGCACGGCGGAAATGGTAGGGGGCAAGGAACCGGCAACTCCTGCCTGGGCGGAACAAAAATAGGACGTGGACATCGTGCAGTGTTTATTTGGCATTTTGATACCCTTGGAGCGTCAGGTTCTGCCCGGCCTTTCGCATGGCAATCTGACTTGGAAACCAACTGTGCCCTTGCTCGTTGTTACGCCAACACCCAAAAACCATGCGTTCAAGTTCATGCCATGACATTTGTCGCTGCTCATAAGTGGAATCAGAGTAGTTGTCTCAATTTGCGAGGATCGTCCTGACGAGTTCCATGTAGTTTATCTCCCCACTGCTTGTGTCGACCGCCTTCAACAACTCATCAACCTCCTCGTCGCTCATCTTCTCGCCGAGGTTGGTCAAGATGTATCTCAGTTGTCCCACTCCGATGAATCCCGTCATATCTTTGTCAAAAACTTGGAAGCCGCGACAGTATTCTTCGGGTTCGCCAGGGTCTCTGAAGCCGCCAGGTCGATTGAGCACTTTCTGAAACGAGTCAAAGTCAACTGCACACTGTGTTAGCTTCTGCTGTCGGCTGGAAATGTCCGTCGCTTCTTACAGTCGCCGCCGACTTGCTTCTCCAGGTCTCGAATCTCAGCGAGGGTAGGATTTTGACCGCATGCGCGTAGAAGGTCTCCGAGAGACTCGAGGGCAACACGTCCGTTCCCGCGCTTGTCGTACAGCGAAAAGGCCTCTTTGTAGTTGGTTGACGTCTGACCAGCAGAAGATGAAGTGTTAGCCATTACGGATAGAAGAATATAGTGGTTTCGACTTTGTAGCAGAGAGAAGCCGCAGGAAAGTAGAGGGTGAGACGGCGGGTGTGTTTGTTGGTGGACGAAAGAGTGTGTTTAGTCAAGGTTGCGCAACTCAGCGGAAGGTGAATGGACGAATGGGAGGCAAGAACTCACCATCTTGAACTTGAGGCTACCCAGAATAATTCTTTCCTTTCCAAAACCTGCGACTCGACTGATGAACTGTTGTGCTGTTCTCACGGTGATGTTCTTGACTCTGGTGTCAAAAATTCAAGAAGGATGAGGCTCTCCTGAACAGATGGCGCGTGCGCTTCTGTTGACACTAGCCCCTGCATGGACCTTCAGAAGCCCACTCAGTCCCCGTCACCCAGCAACACACTCATGCGGCGTCAAACCCTCGCCGCCAACACGATCGCGAAGAGCAATGACTGCCCCCTCGAGCCAAGGTCGATCATTCTGCTGTCAAGCCTCAATCCCATCGACCTCCGCCCTTCTTCGTCCCTAGCATGAAGATGACATTGGCAATCCCAATGCACACCCTGAGGATCTTCTGCTCTTTCTTTGGCAACAATCTGAAAATGAGACTACCCATCATGCGTGGGACACATTCCACTGAGCCTTCCTTACATCGCAAATCGTTTTGCGCACTTGAGCCTGTGAAACGGTCGTCAAGTCTATCATCTCACACGACCTGCTCGCGCTTTGTTTTATATCATGTCCTATGCACGGCACGTCTCTTGCCTCCGTGGTCCACCTGGACTGAACGAGGCCTGCTTATTCCCTCAAACAAGCACCTTTTGCGAAGCGTAGAAAAATCCTCTGGTTGGGTATTGCCGCTCGACGCCTGTGTCATGGGTCCTGGTCACAAGCATTATGTCACGTCCACGGACTTAACTCGCATGGGAGGTGCAGGACACGGCCGCCTTTGGTCCCCTTCCAAGCCTCGCGGTTGTCGTACTTCTCGAAGACCTTCGCAAGCATAGACGGCTCAATCGTACTTTGGGGGATGCGGAGGTTAAGGCCGCGCATCATTATCAATCGCCGCTACTTCCAGATCCCAGCACTCGCTTTGGAGGCCGCAACGAGTAATTTTCCGGTCTTGGTCGACTGCAACCCTACCGATGTCCCCGCGACTCTTCTTCGACAGTTCCTCTTTCTCTCGAGTTTCCGCATACGGTATCCGTGCCCGCCATTTAGTTTTATCTCTGCGATCAGCAGATCTCAAATGTAGCCTATGGCTCACAGCAATGGCCTTTTCCGCCTGGCTAATCGTGGAGAAAGTATTAACCTGTCGAGCCTGTTATGCAATTCCTTCGTACCGTTACGCTGGACTAGTGCTTGAGACATGCCTCTGTGAGGAAGGTAGGCGATTGCTCGGCCAGATAGGTCGACTCCAGAATGGCGCAATGGAGAACTATCCTATTTAGTGCCGTTACCATCCTGAACCTTGGACTTTTGAGCACTAGATAAACCACGGGCTATCTCATTCACAGAGTAGGTGTTGGATCCCAGACCGTCGAACAGTAGAGCATCTCTCACACCATCGGTTTGCAATCGTCAACCAGGACGCTCAGCCACAAATATTTTACAAATACTGTAGGGCCTAACATCTGATCACTATCTCATAACTCTCCAAAATACTTCAAGCAAAATGTCGTCCCTCTCATCACCGACCATGGAACGTCCTCAAACGATATCGCGCTCGCACTCAGCCTCCCTCTCATCGCTCCGTACCCTAAAGGAGATGCCGACCTCATCCAGCTCAAGCGCCTCGACTATCACCTCGAAAACATACTCAACCTCACCCTCATCACCAGCGTCGCCGGTGTGTAGCATGCATACCAAACTCACAAAGCAGATGCATGTCAGTCAACAGCGCTGGCAATCATGGCAAGCTAAACAACTGGAAAACTTCCAATCTGCGGCGCTTCAAGCAGGACACGACTCCAAGTCGAAGAAAGGCTTCACTGCGAAGCGGGCCCATATCCACGCTGGACTCGGGAAAATCGGTTCGGGACTGAGGCGATTGCGGGGTTGAATTTGGCGGTCCGGAGTGTGAAGAAGGGATGTACAATATGCATATTTGATTCCTCATCCTCGTTGTTCGAACATGGCGATCCTCGTGTTGTCGAGTGCCAGGGCTTACCGTCGCTCACTGCCGGACTCAAAACCACGGTACTACGGGAGCACCTCCGTTCCGGAACCATCTTTGGATACTGGTGCGCTTACAAAGCGCAATCGTATACCTCTTGGCCGCCGTCCTTGGACGCAGCCGCCTAGCTGCGGGCAGAGTGCCCATTGGCAAGCACTCGCGCAGAGTCTACCGCATACATCCGAGGATGTGGTTCAAGCCCTGTTCGAACCGCAACCTCTTCAGTAGGTGCCGCGCGGGCAGAGCGTCGAGGCCCTCTACGGCCCTCTACATCAGCCACATTACAACCGGTTCTCTCCTCGATATCTATCGTGTGTCAATAAAGCTTTACGTACCAGCTCTGAGGGATATTATTGTATAACTAGGGTAGCGTCGGAGTTGAAAGGCTGTATATCTAATATTGTACCGGCATCTCTGATTTCTGACGCTGGCAGCAATTAAACCTCATTGTCCAAGATCTGCACATTCGCAAGCGGCTCTCTACTCTGTACGGGCAAGTCGATGTGTCTCGAGACAAGTTGTACAAGGACCATATTTTCACGTTTCAAGCCACATTTGAAGCACACAGGCTTGTCTATTGTTATTGAGTTGCAGTCATCTCTGGAGAGTGATGACAACCAGCAAAGGTTGAGCCGCACATATCTTCTTGGGAGGACTCATGCCCGTGCCACGATATCCGCCATGGCGTTTTCCATGGGCTCGCCGTCATCATATTTCTTCTTCCCACCGTGGACAGCCTGAATCCTCGCATGGATATGTGTCTCGGCCGTCCTCCCGACGCCCTCATATCTCGGCACCCAACCCTCCTTTTCCATCCCAGCCATAGGCACCAGCACGCAGTCCTTGTCCGGATGCAAGAAATAGGCAAAAGTATATCTATCCAAACTTCCATCTGCGGCCGTAGGGACCACTCTATGCCACGTACTCTTCAGCTTGCCCGCCGTCCAGAACTCCAGCATGTCACCTATATTGACGAGGATTTTGTCGCGCAGGGCGGGCGCGGGCGTCCATTTCTCGGTCGATAACGAAAGCCTGGCCGACGTGTATTTTGGCGGCCGGACTTCGAGGCCCCCCACGGCGGACTGGAACAGCAGAGTCAATGTGCCCCAGTCGGTATGTGGGGAGATGCGGTATGCGGGCGAGGCGTCGGAAGTAAGCCCAGCACCACTCCCGGCGCACGCAGCGACAGGCGGGTAGTGCATCAATTCGAAGTTGTCAAAGTTCTCCCTCTCGGGATCATGGTTCCGGGTAAACGTCGTGACAGGGAGGCCCAGAGCCAGGGCGATGAGTTCCAGGAGTTGCGCCGTGAATGCTTGAACTTGGCGCTGAAAGGTGTGGATTTGGCCGCGTGCTTCGGACAGGATGGGTGGCAGAATGGCTGCGGACGCGTGCGAGGATGTAGGCCATTTGTTGATGCTGATGGCTTCGCGCGGGTCTGTGAATTTGCCGTCGGCTCTGGAGATGGGTAGCTTGCACGATTAGTTTGCCCGTCGCTTTTGCCCTTGCCTGGCTGATGCAGCTGGAAGGTATAGTAATACGTGCGGAGCAGAGCAGAGCAGAGCAGAGCAGAGCAGAGCAGAGCAGAGCAGAGCAGAGCAGAGCAGAGCCAGGAACTCACTTACCCGTACGAGCTGGCGGGTTTGTAGCCTGCGTTCCGCGCTGCTATGTATGGGGCTTTCGACTTTTCTGACAGCGGTTGGGCGAAGAACCGTCGTTCCTGTGGTGGTGGTTTTCGCATGTCAGTACGATGTGTTACCCATGTAACGAAACATCAATCATGATACGGTGAGATCTTTGCGCGAAAAGGGCACTGCAGGATGGAAGACCCTTTGAACACAACATGGAGATTGCATGGCTGCGATCCTGCTTTCGACTTGAAGAACGAACTAAAGAATGGAGGCACGGAAACGTTGCGCTCAGACATGTCGGAAAAACTCCTCGAGCAGACATACCAGTTCAAATATGCCATCAATGTCCTCTTCTGCTATGGGATGGTTCTCGACGAAGAAAAAGCCTGTGCCCAGGAGACGTTAGTATGGCCACATGGCACCCTTGCAGGTGCATCGCAATGCGTGGCTTATGCCTACATACCCCAGTCCGTGCAAGCCGCCAGAAGTTCACCTCCTAGCTGCTCCGGCGACGATGACGCGTGTGCAAAGTCGATAATGGGGATATCAGTGCTCATCTCGTGTAGAAGACTCGTTGCCACTCGGAAGCAAAGCTACTGCCCTGACGATTAAGAGCTCATTCGCGCTTATAAGACAAGGGTGTGGGAGGGGCTATTCCTCGCCGACTCTACCGAGTTCTTCTGTGGAGGGGTGTGGGTGGAGTCTTCACGTTTTAGGGCACGAGGGTCTATCTCAAGACCGCCATAATCATATACACAGGACGATAATATGGAGGTCGTGCTGCAGCGCATCTCGATGTTCGCGAGCTCCATGCGGATCTGTCTTTGGGACGGGGCTTCAGGAAGATCAGCGGACTGGCAGCACAAGCCAATCATTCCTCATGAAAAGAGGATCCCGGTCAAAGATAAGGATTGAGGCTTACGAACGCCGCCGTCGGCCTTGACCGAGACGCTCAAGTTACTGAAGATTGGATGCTGGAAGCTCTCCGACGCGAGGAAAAGCAAGTCTCTAGGCAAGCGAATGAGTGCAAGGAATGTGTGGAAGAATCCAAGCGAATGCCCAGAGAGCTTGTTTCGCTTGTCAATGCTTGGCGATTCTGCTGCACATTTGTCGTTCCAAAACACAAATCATCTCAACAGCTCCATTTACGCAACCCGCGACAGGCCCACTTGATCACACGAGTCCGTCCTACTCCCACGGCGAGCAATCGTAATGGGTCTGCACACAGTACGAGGTTCTGGTCCAGCACGAGCGGGCGCATCTAGTGACCGGGGTGTTTCCAAAGCTCCCATATCTCCCGCGCCCCATGTATCAAGGATGTGGCGTTGCCGTTCAATGCAACCACGCTGACTGGATCGCCCTTATCAACTGCTCGCCTACTGCTTCCCACTTGGAGACCTTATTCCATTGCCATCGGCTGCCTCCGCAGCGTTACTCGCTAACCGTCTTCCAGATCATCCTTCTCTTGGGGAACCAGGGTCACATTCACACCCCTTAGAACGGGGCATGTCCGGTAAAGAAGACCTCTGGCGCGGTGCTTAACCAAGGTAAGATACGATCAAGCTTCGGCTCGTGGCACAATCTCGCAATGGTGGCTGTCACAGTTGCTCGTGTTATCTGTCACCCATACTCTATTTAATGTCCCGGTAGCTGCCATCAGAGCGACCCTCCACATTTGCGCAATTTGAAAGCCTTGTCGACACCTTTCTCTTTCTCGTCATCTCAGGGCTTAGGTCGCCAAATCGTGACGTCTTCCGCGTCCAAACATGGCGACTATCGAGCCCCATAGCGCGTCCTCGGAGATATCCAAGGACGGTGATGTCGAAAAGCAACCAGGGATCAACGAAACAGGCGAGCCTGAGATCCGTCATGGCAGCGTCACTCCGGCGTACGAAGTCGCGCGAGCAAGACATCTCCAGAACAGCTTTGCACCCCTTCGTTGGTTGAGCAGAGGAGAGACATGGCTAGACGAAAAGATGGGAATCGAAACACAGGGTATCGACCGCATCCCGGAGGCAGAGAAACGTCCGCCTTCTACGGTCAACATCTTTTTCATGTGGTGGTCGATGACCTGCCACGTTGGGACGCTTCCTCTTGGTGTGCTTGGCCCGGAATTTGGCCTCACACTTGGTCAGTCTGTCGCCGCTGTCGTTGTTGGTACATTTCTCGGCGCACTTTGCACGGCATATACTGGCACTCTCGGACCCAAGACGGGGCTTCGACAAATTGCAATCTCGCGCTACTCATTTGGTTTCTGGGGAGCAAAGCTCTGCAGTGTCCTGAATGTGATCGTTGGCGGCGGGTTTGCTGTCGTCAATGTGGTCATCACAGGGCAAATGCTGAGCGCTGTCAGCGACTACACAATGTCCATTGCCGTGGGCTGCGTCATCGTGGCGATCATATCCTATGTTGTGTCCGTCTTTGGTTTTTCCATCATCCACACCGTCGAAAAATACAGCTGGATTGTGTCCTTCATCCTCATCTGTGTCTTGATCGGTCAAGCTGCGCCACACGTCGGCGCTCACGCTCCAGGATTCCCGGCATCAAATCTCGAGATTGCCGGCTCGTGGCTCAGCTTCATGGCCATTTGCTTTTCGAGCTCCTCGGGATGGTGCTCCATCGCTGCCGACTACTACTGCAATTACCCGGCCACCACCAAGTCGTCCAAGGTTTTCTTCCTTACCCTTGCTGGCGTGACGCTCCCCACCGTCTTCGTGACGGTGGTTGGTTCTTGCATTGGCAACGCCGCCATTTTGAACGCGTATCCACCTTACGCAGATGCCTACGAGGATCATGGCTTGGGCGGCCTATTGCGCGAAATCTACCACCCGTTGGGTTGGAGCAAATTCTGCTTGGTGATCCTCACCTTCAGTGTCATTGGCAACAACATCGCCATCAACTATTCTTCGGGCCTGTCCATACAACTTCTCGGCCATTGGTTCCACGCAGTTCCTCGGTTCATCTGGTCTTTTGGAGTCGCCTTGGTTGTTGCTCTCCTCGCAATCATCGGAAAGGACCACCTCTCGACCATTGTTTCCGATTTCGTGTCCCTTCTCGGCTACTGGACCATATCTTTCACTCTCATCCTCTTGATCGAGGACCAATGGTTCCGCAAGCGTTCTGGTGAAGGATACAACCTTGAGGTTTGGGATATGCCGAACAAGCTCCCATGGGGCGCCGCAGCTACCTTCTCCCTGCTTGCAGGATACCTTGCTGGTGGTGTACCTGGCATGGCTCAAGTTTGGGTAAGTCAACGTCATCACCCGGGATGGTGTTGTTGCTAACAGCCTCTGCTAGTATGTCGGCCCCATCGCCAGGAAATTTGGACCTTTTGGCGGTGACGTTGGCGTCTACATGTCCGGAGCCATCACCCTCCTCTGTTATCCCCCTCTCCGATATTACGAGAGAAAGAAGACGGGCAGGTAGATGGCGATCGGGCGAGCACAGCCCTTGTTTGAATTGAAGTGGGTTGTATTATACGTTGCTTGCAATACGTTCGGACCGCCAAGAGTCCTTCTCCCCAGCGCTCATGTATTTGAGGCGACTTTGACCGAGTCCAAGTTTGTCTGTATCAGTATGGTCCATGCGGTGGTGAACCAACTCGCGTGGCGGCTCAACATGTCCGCCTGTGTCCGACTTCATTCCCTAAGCTCGTCTATACTGGCGTCGGAATCTCATATCACGGCTTCTTATGGGTGATGAGTGAACGTACCGGGGGTGGCAACCGTGTTCGGTTCGGCCGCTTCCCGCACATGGTGAACCCGGTGATACGGTCACAGGCGACTACTCCATGCAGAATATCATGCGAGAATACCGACCCTGTGGCTGCCGAAAGCATATCGTTCATCGGATTGCAGTCCAACCCCACGGAACATTCTTATCGTCCCCTCAGGGATCTGAAATTTGATAGGTCCAAGGCCCCGGAGAAGCTGCATCTCAACCCACAGCGACCAGCAAAACGCGGATCGACATCGTGGACGACAACGGCAACCCACGAGAGAAAAGGGCGTCCGGACAGGAGCTGTTTACCGGGTTACAGCCCTGGATTCGACCACGAGCGATAAGCCTTTTGGGCGCCCGAATCGCATGGTCGAACTTTGTCGAGTTTGAACGGATAGCTCGACAAGGGCAACCTTCTCCGCAATTTCGAACCTCAATAGGCATGGCGTACATCACTAAGCTCGCCGCCGGGGCGAGCTTGTTGATAACGGCAAGTCTGAAGCTGATAGGTCTTCATCACTTGCATTGGAACCCAGGCATACGGAGGGACTACTGCTACAAGGTCTAGAGGCCAGACCCCCGGTAGTGCAGATGTCCGAGATGGGGCGCGACTAGCTCAGCGCCCTGGTGGTACATATACATGGAGGACGTACAGGAGACGATGGGAAACCGTTGTCCACGATACAGCAAGTCTCAGGTGGTCTTTCTGGCCACAGCCTCCCGACCATGGCTTCCACCATTGAAAAGACACCGACACAGACGGATGTCAAGCTCTCACCTCCGTCGTCCGAATCCCCTTCGATCCAAGATGCCGGCGCACCGAGTGATGTGGGCGTCGTCCTCACCCATGACGAATACCATCTCGCAACGCTGGGTTACAAGCAAGAGTTCATCCGCTGCCTGGGCTTTTTCGAAAGTTGGGCGGCCACATTCACTTCAATGAACTTCATTTCTGGCATTCCCGTGCTGTTCGGCTGGGTAATGTACACTGGGGGCCCTCAGGCAGCGCTGGCCAACTGGACCATGGTCGGCGGCCTGTCTTGCATCGTCAGTTTAGTGATGGCTGAGCTGGCGGCGTCCTTGCCTACGACCGGTGGCATCTACTTCTGGAGTTACCGTCTTGGAGGAGAGAAGTACGGGCCTTTCCTGAGCTGGCTTACCGCCTGGTGGAACTGGGCAGGATGGATTTCTGTCGTCCCAGGGGTACAACAAGGCAGTACGAATTTCTTGGTTTCGGCGCTCATGATCAAGTATCCCGACAGCGAGGTCCTGCACAAGGGATGGTTCCTCTGGCTGCTCACGTCGATCGGCATGATCTTCGCCATGATGCCGAACATCTACAACCCGAGACTGCTCCAGTACTATTTCCGGTTCGCGGTGGCCATCTTCTTCAGCCTGTTCTTCATGTACTGGATCTGGTTCCCGATCAAGGCCTCGGAGAAGCATTTCAACAGCAGCCACGGAGCCTTCGGGTTGTTCTACAACGGCATCAACCTCGGCGACACGAAGCAGGCGTCTGATGGTTATTGCTGGTAAGTCACTGTAACGTTGGCCCATTTTCTCTTTTGGCCCGATGCCGTATGGTGCGGTCCAGCTAAGTTAAATGGCTAGGGTTATCTCGGTCCTGTTCGGCGCTTGGGTCTTCTACGGCTACGACGCGTCGGCGCACCTTGCTGAAGAGACGAAGCAAGCATCGACGGTGGTGGCCAAGGGGATCTACACGTCGACTTTCTCGGCCTGGATCCTGTCCGTGCCCACGCTGATCATCATCCTCCTCTGCCTGCAGGACTTTGACGGCATCATCTCGGCCACGTACGCGAACAACTGGGCCGAATACCTGGTACAGCTCATCGGCGACAACGGCGCCGTGGCCATCCTGTCACTGCTCTGGGTGGACAGCACGTGCGCGACGGCGTCATGCTTCATGAGCGCCCAACGCGTCACGTACGCCATCTCGCGCGACGGCGTGCTCCCCTTCAGCTTCATCTTCAAGAAGCTCTCCAAGCGGAAGATGGCGGTCAACGCGGGTCTGCTCGTGTTCGTCATGTCCTGTGCCATCACGACGGCGGTCATCGGCTCGGCCGTGGCCTTCTCCGCCATCACCGCCACCGCGACCATCGCGACCAACGTGTCGTATCTGATCCCCATCATCGCCCGCCACACGGTCGGGCGCAAATCCTTCGTGCCCGCCAAATGGAACCTCGGCAGGTTTTCCCTCCCGCTGGCCATCGTGGCGTCGGCGTACATTCTGTTCCTGTTTGCCGTCCTCTTGCTGCCGCAACTGTATCCCGTGGACGCGGACACCTTGAACTACGCGCCAATATGCATTGGCATCATCACGATCATCAGCCTGGTGGGCTGGTTCTTCCCGAAATGGGGCGGCAGGCACTGGTTCGTCGGGCCGGTCAAGACCATCACCGAGGAAGAATTGAGGAACGCGAGGGTCCAGGGTGGAGTGGCGACCGTCGAGGAGGGGGATGCTTTGGCAAATGTCGAGTACGGCCATCGAAAGACGAGTGTGTCGGCGTAGTCGATAGTCAACGTTCGATGCAGTCGACAGCGTTCGGCGCTGTAGTCACTGTTCAATGGTTTCTTGCCATAGTGATCGAGGCGTGTATCTTGTTCAAGTAGAAGCCTGGGCGGCGTGCATCCTGTTCAAGTTTTCCAGAAGCCTGGGCGGACTCGCGCCATCTTTGGAATGTCGATGTCTAATGAGATCTTCATTTCCCCTATACATTTTAATGTCTTGACATCACGAACAGAACCGATGTAGACGTCGATAACGAAGTCGAACGCGGAGTCGACTGGTGATAGTAATGTCAATACCGACATCGAAAGTGACGTCGACGATGATCGACATTAATGGCAGTGGCAATGTCTCCATTACACTGAGTATTAGACATCACCCTACCACCGCATCGTGAGGAAGACCAGGCTCACACACACACACACACATCACCCGCGCTCTAGTCACAACGACTTGGACAAGAAATCCAAATCCGCCTCGGGCACCCAGTCGGCCCACCACCAGCGGCCGACGGTGTCCAGCGTCTGTTCGCTGGAGAACAGAGTGTCCTCGTCCTGTGAGAGGAGGAGCGTACCACCGACATCCCACGGCGCATCTGAACGGCCCGCCACGTCTCCGGTGGTGGTGGTGCTCGTCGTCCCAATGACATGATGCTCTGTATGGTGGTGATGTCCCTGGCCTGCTGCCGTCGCTAGCACGCCATTGGCGTCAGCGGTAGCGTGAGCTCGAGGATCAACGCTGTGGCGGCCCACTCCAGCAACGTCGGTGGTCATTGCAGACGGTCCCGCCGGGCGAGGACCGAAGATGGACCCCCACTGGCGACACAACTCGGGGCCAAAGGGGGCGAAAAACTCGGCCTCCTCAGGTGTCAAGTTCATGCGCGTTGATTCCGCGGTGTCTTGGACGGACGTCGAATGGTTGTTCATCATCTGATTGACGACCCTCTCGGCGCCGATGGCCGAGGGGAACCTCTTCTTCAGTCCGTCCAGCGAGAGTCGGATGATGTCGATCTCCTCGTTGCGGTGGGCGGCCAGCGAGGGGAATCGCTGGTACGACAGTTGAAGCAGCGCCGCGACCATGAGGTAGAAGATCGCCGTCACGGGCAGATGCGGGATGTCTTCGTGCGTGAGGTATTCCTCGAAGATACCGGAAATGAAGGACGCGGCCAGCAACGACACCGGCGCGGGCGGGTCGTTCTTGTTGTCGTGGCGGAAGAGGATGATCAGCGCGGTGAAGTACAGGACGTGCAGCTGGCGGAACTTGAAGTCGTACTCGGTCAGTCTATTGTTACCCTTCTTCGTCTCTGCCGCCGCCTCCGTCTCGGTCCCGCGACGGTACAGCCGCAGACTCGACGGCACGGCGTTCAGCCATGCCCGGAGCGAGTCTTCAAAGTCGATCTTTTTGCGGTCCGAAAGCGTCCCGCGTCGGTAGTGTTCCGTCATGTCTCCGAGGATCGAGGTGATCTGGACGAACTGCATGAAGAGGAGGGCGTCGTTGTCGCCGGCTTCGAAATCATCCACACGTAGAGGTCGCACATTCGAGTCTTCGGCGTTGATGGCCCTGGGGCGCCCGTGACTCGTGGCTATCAGATTGTCTCTGGACTGTTGCCACGCCATCCATTAGCAACGCTCGGTATCGATCTACACGTACGTGATGAGGGTGGTCGTTGGTCCAACCGTACTTACAACCAGTGCCCACCAGATCCTTCGGCGCAGCCTCGCCTCGGCCATTCTGGGATCGGGCTCGCGATGAAGCCCGATCTGATGGGCGAGCGCGACGCTCGTTCGGAGCCAGAAGCTGCTGTTGTCAATGGACACGTGCTCCGGGCCCGACGGGTTCAGCCACTGCAGAAACAGGATGGCCATGATGGTGTGCAGATGGTTTTGCTCCCCATTGGTGTAGAACAGCACTTTGGCGCGCTGGTAGCATCGCCGCCCGTGGTCCGCGGCCTCGGGCGCGGACGAGACGATACTCCCGGCCACGAGGGTCGCCGTCACAAGCAGCGTATCCTGATTCCTGGCGTCGAGCCTCTCCAAGTCTGTTTCACTGACCAGGGGCATCCACGGACGACACCAGTGCAGGAAATTCCGCAGCAGACTCTGCCTCAACGTCCCTCTCGGGATCTCCAGCGACGAGACGTTGCGTCTGATCCGGGCCTCGAAATGCTGAAAGGCGCCCGCACGTAGGCCGGGGCCGTTGTAGTGGGTCGCATCATCCTCGTCGATGTCCAAGTGGGCGGTGAGATAGTCGCTCCGGCCGAGATAGCTGGCCTGCTGGGCTGGTGTGTCGGGCCCGTCGCCGTGGGTCAGAGATTTCGCCTTCTTGTCTTCAACGGGTCGCGGGCTCGCATCCTTCTCTGCGTCAACCCGCCGGCGTTTCCTCGTGTGTGGTCTGTGGTAGTAAATGGTCAATACAAAGCTCCCTCATGTCCTGTGAGCACCTCAACTTACAAGCACGCTCTCTGCGAGTCCCGGCAATTCGAGCAGCAATGGCGCGTGCTTTCATGCAGGTTGAGATCACAACGGACCTTTCTCGCGTGGCAGGATTCGCAAGCCGTTGCCCGTTTGACCGAGAGGGGTGGCGATGAGTATGGCTCTGGCATTGCACAAGAGTGTCAGGTCGTGCCACGCTTCATGGTGGTGGACGAGATTTCGCCGAGGCGTTCACGACCATGCGAGCTCAAAGTGAGTGAGTCTTCTCTGCACGGAGTTAATCACACAATTTAATGACTGTATCACCTCGGCAGAAGGAATCGACGCCACGGCCGAGCTTTAAGCTTCCCACCTCGCAATTTCGCATCCCTAATTCGGCATCGGTCAGTCATGCTTGGACTCGGCCGCATCTGTACACACGTACGGGAAAACGCCGAACACTCTCATTCTGGACACAAGTAACATATAGAAGAACGGGGCAGCTGACAGCTAGTAGCCGCGTCTGGCGCAAGAGACGATACGATGCAAGAGAACAGCCGCTGACCAGTTCAATGGAGACACATTGCTGTTGCAACAAGGCAAGCGAGCGCCAACAGGACGTGGACACCACAAGCAGTTCAGCAGCATTGATATCTACTCAGTGTCAACCTGTCGACCTTTGGGATGCAACTACCTCCCGCGACAGGATTGGCAAATGATGGCAAAACAGCGGGCTCATACACCATCGCCCTACTCCTTCGTGACCTCTCTAACCTCACCTCGGACCTCGACGTCCTTGTCCTTCCCCAACTCGAGTGCATCGACAATCTCGGCTCTCTCCGCCGGCGCAACCCCCATAATGGCCTGCAGTTTTGGCGCCGCGGAGTGGACCTCGCCATCGAGATTCTCATCGATTTCCTCGAGGGTGCGTCCACGGGTCTCCACCCAGAAGACCAACACGACGACCAGTTCGACCACGTCCCACGCGCCGTTGATCATGTACGTCTTCCACCCGATGGCCTCCAGGGCAAACGGGAACGAGAAGGTGACCATCAGGCCGACGCCATTGACGAGGAACGTATAGATACCCATGCCGAGGGAGCGGATGCCATAGTTGAGCACCTCAGGCGGGTACAGCACCGTGAGGGGCGTCCAGCCAAAGCTATAGGCCCCCTGAAACAGAAAGATTGCGGCAACCGTGCCGTAGATGCCCGAGTGGTTGTTGTGGGAATCTCCGTACACCTTGGTCAGGGCGCCGACCAGGAAGATGAAGACGGTCAGCAGCCCGGTGGAGATGGCGGCGAGGGATTTTCGGCCGAGCTTGTCAGCCATGGCGGTGCCGACGAGAGAGACGGCGAGACACCAGGCATTCAAGATGATGTTGATCTCCAGTTGCGTGGTGGGGTCGGTGACGCCGGCCTGCGTCAACATAGTGCCGAAGTAGTACGAGATGATGTTGTTGCCGGAAAGCATGGAGAAAACGGCCACGGTGCAGACCAGGAAGATGCGTCTGCGCGTGGACGAGCTGTCGACAAGTTGCTTGACGAACGTCGGTTGCTCAAACGACTTCTCGAAGGCCAGCGTGTCGGTGATCTGCCGGAATTGGACCATCACGGCAGGGTCGTCGACGTTGCCGTTCGAATGTGTCTGGGCCAATGCCAGCAGAGCGTCTTGACTGCGTCCCTGGTTCTGGAGCCATCGCGGAGACTCTGGTGTGAAGGGAATGAGGATGATGCAGAGAAGGCTAAACAGTCCCTGGAGCGCTGACGGGAGGCGCCATGCCCACGTCGAGTCCATCTTTGCAGTGCCATAAGTGATACCCGCGGCGATCAACCCACCTGATTCGCTCTGTCAGCTTCTCACCTATACCCGGCCACCTAGGTGGACCAAAAGGGGGGGAAATGTACTCACCGACATACCAGAAATCATACAGCAGAGCCAGCGACAGCGCTCGGAGCTTGACCGGGACCGTCTCGGACAAGTACACGGGAGCAGCGATGGAAGAGGCGCCGGTGCCAAACCCAATGATGATCCTCGCAATGACAAACATGGCGATGTTCTGGGCGGCGGCCTGGAGGATGACACCCACGATCGTGACGACTGCACCCGCCAACAGGGCCCATTTTCGGCCGATCCAGTCGGGGACTTTGGCGAATGTGATGCCCGCGATCGCGCTGCCCATCCACACCGATGCCGTGTTGAGCGCCAGCGTGGTCGTGGTCAAGGTGAAGTAGTCCGTGTACGAGGGCAGGATGTTCAGGCCGTTCATCATCGACCCGTCAAAGCCAAGCGTCTGCAGTCTCCCCGTCAGCGGCGTCATTCAGAAGGGAATGTTGTGTCGTATGATACTGACAGTCGACGTCACGCATGATGTGAGGATCAGTATGGTGCAGGCGAGCCATGACCGCTGAGGTACCCTAGCCGGGAGCTCCCAACGGAGTGTCATACTGCCTATTCTGTTATATGGCAAAGACTGGTACAAAGGAGCCTTGCCGTCAAGGTCGATATCATGGCGAATCCATGCTCCACGCCGCGAGGACCCGCTCTATCTATATAGTGACCATGCCCGCACATAGTACTGTCCAACAGCTCAACCGTGTTCCATCGCGCAAGGCCGTTATCTCGACCAACCTGGCTCCAAGGTGTCCGCACAACCGGCCAATCTGCGGGCTGCCTTCACACTGGTTGTTCTGGCTTTCTGGCCCTGGCATGCCGTTCTTTTGACTTCGCCTTATCTGCACAGGTGCTGATAGCGGACGAGGCTGGCACCAAGCAGACATCTGGTCACTTGAATGGCCGAACGGCTGCGACGGCAATGTCCGCATGATGGGTGTAGATTTCCGAATCGGTCGACAGTCGCCCAGTTGGATAGTATCCAGTTGCCTGTGCAGTGCGCGGTGAAGATTTCCGTGCGGCTTGCCTCCCAGTCACCGAAAGCTTGCAAGAATGCTCGACTGGACGCCTTGAGGTCCAGGTCCAGTCGTCCTCGTCCATCGTGGATATCCGATGAGTTTCGCTCTATTCACTGCATTGGACACCACCCAGACCATTTATAGGCCCGTAGGTCGTTGGACAGTGGCAATTGATCAGTCCAAAGGTCCTCCCACAGAGTCATGCCGGGACGCCTGCTTAGCTGGCCAGACTGGCCCGAGTTCACGGCCGCGAAGGCCGAGCACGGCGATGACCTCGTCGGGTACAAAAGATCCATTGCCGACAAGTACGGCAAGGACAATATCATCAAGAGCTGGCTCAAGGTATGCCAGGAGCTGGAATCCGTGACCGGTCGTGTCGCCGAGCAAGGAACTTCCGCCATCCCCGAGGTCACGTTCGAAGAAGTCTTCGACCTGACGCCGGAAAGGAAGCAGGCCTTGAAGGACGTCGGATGCTTTGTCGTGCGAGGCGTGTTCAATCAGGAGCAAGCCAACGAGTGGTTCAAGGACCTGAAGGAATATGTTGCTGCCAACCGAGCATCGATTGGCGGTAGGTGATGTCTCTCGCGGGCCAACCACGTGCTATGGAAGAGCATGTTGTCGCTGACCCCCGACACAGGCTGGCCCGCAGAGACGCCCTTCATCCTCAACTTGTACTATTCTCCGACGCAGATGGCCGCGCGCTCGCATCCAAACCAGCTCAAGCTCAGCAGGGAGCTCAACTCTTGGTGGCACGACGAGCCTGGGTCATCTTACTCGCCCGAGCCGTTGTCGTATGCGGATGGGGTTCGGATTCGACCTCCCGGCGTGGCCTTTCGCGGCCTCGGCCCACATGTAGATGCAGGGAGTCTGTGCCGTTGGGCTGATCCCACCTATCAATCTGTCTATGCCGCCGTCTTCTCAGGGAACCCCGAGGCACTCGACAACTATGACCTGAGCGCCCGCCAACACGCCAATCAAGCAATGTTCCCGGGCAGCGCCCACTCACGAGTTTTCCGGGCTTTTCAGGGCTGGACAGCCCTGACGTCCGCCGGCTTGGGCGAAGGCAGTCTGATGCTCTACCCCAACGTCAAATGGACCATTGCATACTTGTTGCTGCGGCCCTTTTTCCGAGCCCCAGAGGCCGAGGCAGACGTCATGGACGCCAGCAAATGGACCTTTGATGTCGAGGACCCGTGGTTCCCGGGAACGTTCAGGGATGATAGCCAGCTGTTGAGTCCCACTTCGCACCCTCACCTTCGCCTCCAGGAATGCATGGTCGGTATTCCAAGCATGAATCCAGGAGACACCGTCTGGTGGCACGCAGACGTACGTTAATCGCCTTCTTCAAAAGATCGGTGCTCTGGACAGGCTAACGGATTTCGCAGATGTGTCACGCGGTAGAAGTCGAACACAATGGGGACCACGAAGCCAGTGTGGCCTACATTGCCGCAACCCCGAGGACGGAGGAGAACAAGAGCTATATCAAACGACAACTGCAAGACTTTCTGAACGGCCGACCCCCGGAGGATTTCCGGTCAGGGCCTGCAGAGAATACCTTCAAGCTGCACACGGGCGAGGCCGGTATTCTAGGTGGCGAAGCTGGAAGGAGGGCGATGGGCTTCGACCTGATCGTCTGATGTGGTGAGCTGGTGGGACAGAGTGATACTTGGTCTGCTTACGCCGCAACTGGATCTATTCAATCCGGTCAGCAAAGCTTCCGGACGGGATTTGGGACGGTTTCTGGAAAGTAAAGTATATGCTGGATCTGATCCTGATTGCTGGGTATCTCAGAAGTGCAAAAACGGGGCAACACGCTGCCTGTTCCTCGTCGTATGTACGTCAATCATCAATTCTTCAACCACTCATAGCAGCGCCTGTAGTCTGGGAACTAAATGATATTCGCTATGGTCATTCGGGCTCGGTTTGTATCTGGTGGTTCGTTCGGTATGGTGATCGGTGCCAGCCTCGGTCCTGAAATCCCGGCAGCTGGACCGTTGGATAAGGGCGACCTGGGGAGTGGCTGCTGCGGAATATGATTGTGTGGATAACGTTGTCTCTCGGTCAATTGTTGCAGGTATCGCGCTGAATTTTCAATGTGTTGCCAGCCCCCCCAATCGTGCTTTTCTTCCTCGGACAACATGTTGTCCCACGACGGTGACTTGGCGCCCGAGCTACCTTGTGCCTCGTGCTCATTGTGCGTGTTCCTAGGTCGGCCATGCTTTTGCCGCCGGCTGAGATGGGTGCCTGTCTCGGCACTGCCCCATACCCAGCTGTTGGTACTGGCTTGAAGGTCGGCCGACAGGTAGACCAGGAGTTCCTCGTCTTGGTCAATGTCGATGCTGTTCGCTTTCTCTACCCGCTCGACCAGACAGCGGAGGAAGAAGGAGAGGTGCCTCCCACAGCAAATGTTGATGCTTCGAGCGTCGTCGATTGTCGAAGCCGCCCGTAGCAGTAAGAAAAATGCATCCCAAACTTGCCGAAAGAGCAGAAAGAGCATGCATCTCCACAGATGCGTACACAGCATAGTGCTTGCAGCAAGGACGAACCGTTGCTCCCAGTCATGCGCCTGAACGTGTGGTAACATGCATCTCGAGAGAGCGCTTGCCGTATCGCGGGAAGCATGTAGACATTGCTCAATGGCGTGGGCTCGCTGTTCTGGAGAGCATGACGGTGACAGATTGTGACGGTGGAGCAGTATGCGTGTATTTTGAAACGATATAAGTGGCGCCATGATACAAGGATCTAGACCCGCCGTCGACGAGAGCTGTAATGGCCGAGGAAACAAGTGCAGGCATTCGCCCAGATGCGTTTCGAACTTGGTCAGGGCCTCGCTGGTGATGCAGAGCGATCTAAACGTCTTGGCCAGGGGCGCCATGAGCCGTGCGATGTGGATGTTGGCAAGTAAGAGGGTCGGGGGAAACGGAGTATGCAAGTCGTCGGCCATCAGGCGCTCTTCGTCGAGCACCTGTGGATATTCGGTGTCGCATTCGTCGTCGTTGATGAGCATGGGCTTTCCCAGCTCCAGCGCAAGCAGGCTGTGGCCGTTAGTCAGGAAAAAGTCAGTCAGTTTTAGAGAAATGGCCTACCGGTCCCACACGTAGAAGGAATACCAGATGCGTTTGCGCATTTCGCCCTCCACGGGTGACCACTGCCCCCCCTGCACATGCAGACCCAGGTCCTGCACAATACGGATTGCAGAGCCCAACCATATCCAACTCGCCGACTTGCGGTTCATCTCGATCAGGGCAATGCTGGCGAGGAACGCCACTATGGCCTGGTTTGTAGACACGTCATCCTCCCAGAAATTGATGGTCGAGATGGCCCTGGTCAAATAGTCCTGCGCTTCGGGCAGCCGGCCACGGTCATGTGTGGCCAGTGCGCCACAGGCGAGGACCGCGTACAGGGTCGCCACCCAGTCCGTCGCCAACGACTGCGCGCTCCCCTGCTCCATTGCGATGGCAAAATTTCGCTGAAACTTGGGCCAGTACAGGACAGGGAATAGGCGGTGGATGTATTCGTGATAGTAATGCAGCAAGCGTTCGGCCGCGGGTCGCGCAGGCAATCCCTGTAGATCTGAAACTCGAATGTGCGTAGTGTGCGATGGAAGCTGGACTCCGGTGACCGGCGGTTTCAGCAACCCACGACCGACATCATTCAACTGCACTCTGGCACTTGTGAGATCCTGAGGGGCTCTTGCTTTCAACATCCTGCGTGGTGATTTGCCAATAGACGGGAACTCAGCGTAGACGGAGGAGGCGGTGTTGGGTCGACCGTCCGCGGAAAGATCAGGTTTGCGCTCGACGGCATGGTATCGCTCGAGCTGCTGGCGGGCTTCCAACAGTTGTCTTTCTAGGTCCTGTACTTGTCTGCGAACGTCAGAGGTCGTCGGGACGGGACGGGAGGCCATCCACTCACTTGATTGACGACATGCGGCGGTTGGTGTCTTTGGTAAACTGACAGCGGACATTGCGGCTGGAGCACTCGGTGCAACTCGCCGTCTCTGTCGCATCGCACTGTGGGGGATCGTTAGCGTATGTTTGCTCGAGGAGGCGGTGCGCAACGGACCTTGACCTTGCGTTCGCGACATGCGTCGCAACTCGGATCCTTCCGTCGTTGCCTGTACGCCCTCTTGGGATTGTGCATCATGACGGCCGAAATCTGAGATGGGGAGGGAGTACTCTGGGCTCCACTGCTTGGCCGTAAGTTCTCCCCCAGACGAGAAATGCCTTCATTGGGGGACAGCGGCCCCATGTCGTGAGGGCTATAGTAAGATGACATGGCAGCAGGCTCCGCTGAAAACAGCCCCGGACCGAGATGTTGTGCGGATGCAGACGATGGATGAGATGCACGATCCAGCTCGTGGGCGCTCACCCACATGCCCGAGCCGGAGGCGGGCGGCGACTCTTTCGAGGACAACGACTCGGTCATCTTTTCATTCGGATCAGACTGTTGCCGGTCGTCGTGGAGAGTCGCAGGAAGGCCTTTTTCCCACTCTTCAGGAACGAGTTCTCTTGCGATGTCGAGGCATGCCCACCCGCCACGTTCCGAACCTGGACCGATAGATGGCAGCGGCGTCCAGAAATCTCAGTCCATAGCAACAGGGGAGAGAGGAAAGCGCCGTGTCAATGCAGAGAGAGTCCTCAGTTGGGCGTTGTTGGCCGTGTTACTGCAACGACAGAAGCGAGGTGCAAGAATGGAGACAGGTAAATGTCCGACCTTGGCCTACTGGTTCCGCTGAGGAGTAGCGAGAGTGATGCGATGCGAGTGGTCGCCACTCTCACAGACAGGTCAGCCGAAATTGTCGCTAGAATATCAAAGAGAGCGCGCCTACGGGCAGAAGGAGGCGGGTGTAAAGGCTCGACCGTGAGCCCGAAGTGGTCTCGCGATGACCATGCGCTTTTTCTGAGTGATCTGTCGATCGGCATCCAACGAAATTTAGGGCCAGATCTTCACGGCTCCCTGGACCTCTAAGCAAGGAAGCCGTTTGGGAGAGAACAAAACAGCTGTGGCCCAGCTCCAACCACGCCCGTAAAGGGGTAGGTCGACATATAGACCAGCAGCCAGGCACGAGGTGAACTGCCGGGGCGCGTGGCGTGGGAACACGCCAGAAGAGGGTCCGGCTCGAACATGGAGCTTCGCACCCGGTGGAATGAGACTTCTTGACCGTCGATGCTGGATTTTGGGCACTGGCTGCTCCGTTCACCTGGCTGGCGGGAGAAGATTCGGATTGATGCGCAAGCCCGAACGAGCTAGGGTGCGCCTTCGCTGCTAGGAGCCTCCCCGGTTCTAGCAGCCGAAGTGAGAGAAGCAGGAGAAGCTAGCCACAACGTCCTGAACAGCCGAATCAGGCATGAGCGGCATCGGCTTGCCGCCTAGCACCACTGGGGCCACCAGGGCCATCATCGAAAACAGCTCCCCTGTCCACCGCGCAAGCAGGGAGGCCCATGGATGTTTGACCCATCTGCTTGAGCCGCTCTCCGAGTTGGCTTTTAGCTTTGAGGGGAGCTGGGACCCGAGATGTGGTGCAGCACTCGTACTGGGTACCTGTTCGTGGCCCAATCCTTGCCGTCATACATTCCAAATCCACCACATCCCGCATGTTTGAGCTCCTGGAGCACCTGACACACATCGAAGGCAGAGCACGCGGCCTGCTGGTCGAGCTAGGGACCCCAGTGAGCGGCGCGTTGTGCGGTGATTAACGGAGAGCTGGTCCTGGTGCCTGGGTGGTTCCTCGCGGGCACTGCTCAGCCGTGGCCCATGGCTTCTGCTGACATGTTTCCACCGTTTGCTCCGGCCCCATCCACTCCTCTGTGGCGGCTCCTGTGGGGAAGGCCCGAGGACGATCATAGGCCTTGGCTGTCACCTGGTGGGTAGCTCTAAGCGGCCCTAGCCTGCCGGACGGAAACAGAAAAGATGCGATCACCATATGCTTTACCACATCTGAGCCAGTTCGAGCTCTGAGACACAGTGATCGATCTTTGCGCGACCCGTTGACAGCGCTGGTTCTAGAAAATCTTGAGCATGTCTGAAACATCTTGCCACACACTTGTCGTGGGCCCTGGCGCCCCAGTCTCCGACTTGATGGGAGAATGCCGCACGGCACAACAGCCTCCCAGACATGTGCATGTCGGACGCCTCTCTGGCGTGACTTGCTGATACTGGGTACTGCATCTGAGCCGTGTCCTGCTCAACCTGTATGCCAGGCGCCTAGGAAGGCCTGGTACAGTCGATCATACGCTGTAAAAACACATGCTGTGTCCTGGACAGATGGAGAACTCGGTTGAGCGTCGGTCCACACCCGAGACGCTCCTGCTTCTATGGCGCTACCTTTTCCAGCCCAGCCTCTATGGAGGTATCTGACCCTTTAGTTCTGGTTCGCTGGCCGCGACAAACAGCAAGTCCTCAACCCTGGCCAGGACATCATGGCGCGGATGGACAAGCCCTAAGAGAGGGCGGTGGACGTCGAGCTGAAGTTGTCGGCCCCTGCCAGCCACCAGCAAGGGTTAGAATGCGCCGTCGATCACGGGGTCAATGACTTTCTAGTTAGAGTACCCGTTCGGGGGTGGTCTCCGGTTTTGTACTCCGTATATCGAGTCGAATACTTCAAACATTGCCAGGCCGAAATTGATGTCCCGCCTCTGAAGGGACGACGGTGTATACTGTGTACTGTAGACGCGTGTACTCGTGCACTGCCACCCGCGGACAAGCATTTTCGTTCTCTGCTGTGTCGGGTGGAAGGGAGCCCAAGCGGCCGGCAGTCTGGAAGACGGCGCCAGGGCACTCCTGCCTGTGATTACTGGGTTAGAGAAGCACAACCATGCTCCGCTCTTTTCTCGAATGATCGCTTTGCATGAAACGGGCCGATTCACTACGGCATAAAACGTCTGATATCAAGTCCGCTGCGAAGTGGAACGAGTGACGGGGCGTTCGAAAAGCAGGATCGGAGATCCACTTCGAGTCGCAACGATGCCAATCTGGAGTACTCAGTTCCCTAGGCTGAGAGGCTGATTTGATCTTCCGCGTCAAATGTTTCGTGGCTGTCCTCTTTGGGGCTTGTGGACTCCTGCATAGGCGGGGACCATGGCAATCTGGGCGAAACAAGTCCCAGAACAAGCTCCAGCAACAACCGTTGCCCCGAGTCAGTAATGAGTACGGGTACATCCCCGGCTTTCTCTGCGCTTGCTGTGGTTGAAAGATGACATGCGACACGCCACACGAGGTGCTGCTTATTGGGAAGGAATGCATTTTCCTGTTCCGACCATGTTGCGCACCGCAGAATGCTCATCTCTCGGCGGGCTGCCAGGAAATCATGGAAGCGGCCAATAGTTCCAGAAGACTGGGCTGGCTTCCAACACTAATAGTGTGGAGTTTGGGGGAGACCTGAACTTAGATTCACAGCCAGGGGTCCGGAAAACCAGGGCACCCGAGACGGGAGGATCACCGACAAGCGTGTCATCGAGTCGTCGAAAGAACCATTGACAGCAGAGTTAAGACCTCGGATCTACACGCTGCTCACCAGGATCGACCGTGCAGGTTGCAGGTTGCAGCTGATGACGGGCACCGGGATGGGATTTTCCCCTGACGTACCAGCGCCTCCGGTAACCCAGCGATAGGCCGCTGGTGCGGCAAGATCAGACGACTATCTAACTGGAACCAGCAGAAGAGCTGGTACGTGTGCTCGAAATAAATCCGTGGAACTGACGTGCCCTTCGAAGGTGCTGATGCTCGCGGCCGCTTATCGAATGCTGTCACGAGGAGAAGTGGATGATCCATGCGCCCTCGCCGAAACTCGAACGACGAGCATGTCGCATTCTCAGTGATCCTCATCTTCCGTTGGCGTCGCTAGAAGTCGGTACCAGGTCCAATGTGGAATGACGCAGTCCCATGTGTGGCGCCGGTGACCAAGTTTGGCAGATCCAATTTGCTTCACAGCGCAGCCATGACACGCCACAGACGGCTCAACTATCAGTGCCCTGCACCGTCGTACTGGGTACGGACTGCGGTACTTTGTATTCGTCTTCCGTACGAGGACTCTTGTTCCGTCTGGGGTGGTTCTAGACAACCCTTCGACGAGTCGGCGATGAGTGGCAAGGTGAAACATCAGGGAGGGTTTGCTGCCGCACCCTGAAGATTCCGTCATTGGCTCGCCGAACTCCGTTACTCAGAGTATGCAAGGGACGGACCAAGGGGACAGTTGTCTGGATGCGCACAGCGTCCCGCAGCGGAAAGCCTTATCGCAACTCCAAGATTTCGAGATACCCCTAGGCCACTCGCCGAAAGCTTGGGGGAGGCGCCAGACCAGGTTGCTTGCTGCAGTGGTTGAGGAAGAAAGTTGCGACAGACAGGGCTACGAGTTGCCTTTTGCGACCATGTTCGATACAAAGTTTTTCGCCGGTTTCTAGTGAGTGCCTAGAAGACTCTGACAGCCAGGATCTTGTGGACCGTGACACCCTGGCCTTGTTTCGGCTTCGAGACCGCGCTTTTACCCTTTACCCAAGTAGAGCGTACGATGTGAAGATTATCCGCCTGCTGCACCCGTGCTCGATGAACCGGGCACCCGAGCCAAGATCTCTGGGAAACACTAGCGATGTTCATGAAAAGCTTCCTCGCAGTCGGTAGAGCAGCCGAGAATTGGCGAAGAACTGCGATCGATCTCCATGGCTTCGAAAGGAACACCGGGCTGTCTCAGCAAGCGAAGATCCTATGGTGCAACGCCCGACAAAACGTTCCAGGCTCGTCATTGAGGATAGCCAACGAGGCTCTAACTGCCGATTTTCTGCAGGGAAGGAATGGTACCGATTTGCCTGTGCCAGACTGGTCCCCGGCCCAATGAGGCAGAGACCGATCCCTGTCCGTCGGGGACCTCTTTGAGCTGCAACACCAGCAGTTCATGAGGGGCAGGTGGCCGGTCATGAGGATGGGCGGTTCCACTTCTGTACTATCTGATCGACAATTGCTGTAAAGCCCTCCATCTCTTCTTCGGCTGTCGTGCCGGCGAAATTCATGCTGCAGCCCACATACACTGGCCGTTTCATCTTGCGCGCGAGGATCTTCGCCATCCTGGTGGCGTAGTCGATACTGGACCCCGACGTGGACAGGGCCGTGCTGATCACATTGCGCTCATCCCTCATCTAGGGCTGGTCAGAGCTGGTCAGAAATAGACGCATAGGTGAATATTTGCGTACATCGGGCATTGCATAGACAAAACTGCCCATTGGCGGCCTGTCACCCTCAGAGTCGCCGAGATCGGTGGTGGTCAAATGGACCATGGCGCAGGTTCCCATGAAAGTCAGGTGAGCGTGAACGGTGAGATGGGGATGTTTGGGCAGCGGAAACGACAACTCGATGGGCGTGAACGATGGCTCCATGATTGAGCAGCTGCTGTCTCGATCGAAGGAGTTGCGAGGCTTGTCAGAGCACGATTGTCGCTTTGACAAATTCCAGCGTGATAAATGCTAACCCAGCTTCTATCGCACAAAGACGCCCGTCGCAGAAACTGTCATTGAAAAGTCCTGATACTGTTAGTGGGTGGTTAGGTGACTCCATTGTGAATTTGATATCAACCTGCGCTTGGCGGTGCTGCATGACACGCTGCTTCTCACACAAACATCTGTCGCAACGCTTGCACCTGCATTTCCTCACACCTTGAAGCCTGTCACTATTGATTGCTTTCCTCTTCAGACCCTCCTTCTTGTTCTTGCTTTGCCCTGGCCTTCGTAGTCAGAATGGCCGAAGATGACGACAGCAGCAAACCATCTGCATCGCATCCTCCCAATCCCTTATTTGATGATGCCGGACCTCTGGCTGATCCGCAAGAACGCAGAGTCATCTTTGCAGCTCTTGATTCATTCCAGTAAGTCCCAGCAGGCTAACACAGGAGCTCGGGCTGCATGATGGCGGCCCATTGGAAGGAGATTTTCGTTCGAGCCGGCTTCTATCAAAGGTCTCGTGCCTGTTGTTTCTCGATAACACGTGGCGACACGTTTAGTCTCTACGCAAAGCTCAAGTTTTCACTCCCAATAGCGAGCTCAACCACAGGCCACCTTCCTCAAAGTACTGTCTCTGCTACATTCATGCCCATCTGATTGATTTCGACGCTCGTAGGGCAATTCTTGGACTGTTGCCGCTGACCCTGTGAATAGCAAGTACCGCCAGAACGCACACTATAACACAACCCATCGGCGACGGCAAAATCTCTACGCTCTCCCTGCGTCGCAATGGCAAATGCTTGCTTCACCCCCTTTGTCCATCCTAGATACTCTCAACGCCGTCGACGATGCACTGGACCACAACGCCGACCTTGCCGACAAGATAGTTCGGCTGGGTTTGGCTGCTTTCGGGCTGCCAGAATTCCCGCCCAAGGACTCGGTGATGAATTGGCAAGGTAAAGCCAAAGCCAACGATATATCAAAAGCACATTCGACGATCCGACAGTTCTACCGAGACTGGTCTCATGAGGGCTTCACCCTTGAAGTCGAACCTCTCCTCAGGACCGTCATCTCAGATCTTGAATCATATTTGCCGCCGTTCCAGGCCAATGTTGGACTCCCATCCCTTCTCCTCCCCGGTGCTGGACTAGGTCGTGTCCTCTTCGAGCTTGCTCTGCGAGGCTACCATGCAACAGGGAACGAAATCTCCTACCACCAACTCCTGGCAAGCAATTTCATCTTGAATGCGACCCAACATGCAAACCAATACCAGATATACCCCTTCTGCCATACCTTCACCAATGTCATCTCACGCTCGAACCAACTGAAACACCATACCGTTCCAGATGTCCATCCAGGTGAAGCCTTCTCCCAACGCCTTGCCGCGGCTTTACCCGTCGGCGAGATGAACATGACCGCGGGTGACTTTGTGCTGTCTTATTCGACGCCTGAAAGCAAGGATACGTTCGACGGAGTCGTGACAGTATTCTTCATTGATACGGCCCCCAACCTGGTCCGATATATCGAAACGGTCCGGAATTGCCTGAGAACCGGTGGTATTTGGGTCAACGTTGGACCTTTGTTGTGGCACTTTGACGACCGCGCCCCCGGTGCTCACAGCCACGATGATGAAGATGACCATGACCATGACGACGATTATCGAGAAGCGAGGACCAACAAGGGAGCACCCGATCAGCCTTCAAGCCAGCACAGGCGTGACTCTGACTTTGAAGACAAGGGTATCGCCGAGCCAGGCTCATTCGAGCTCACTGACGAGGAAGTCCTCTTGCTCGTCTCCAGAATGGGGTTCGAGATGATCAAGCACGAGCTCCTCCCCGCCCATTCCGGGTACATACAAGATCCGCATAGCTTGCTGCAGAACCGATATCGATGCAGCCACTGGGTAGCCAGAAAGGTAGACGTCGACCCATGATGGTAGTCCAAGTCCACAAAGGTAGACGTCGACCCGCACTGCTCTAGAAGGGTGCGGTTTAGAACAAATCTCATGTTCGTTCTCGTCTCATCTCATCTCAAGCCTCTCACGATTGATGTTCGGCTTCCATGTGATCCAACGAGGACGGTATACCTACCTACCTACCTACCTACAGCGCACGCACGCACGCACGCATACCTAAAGTACCTAGGTTCCTAGGTACCTACCATAGCCTATACTTCAGTCAACCCATCCCATCACCGATACCGTAGTCGTTGTACTCCGTAGTCATGAGATACTTATGATTTAGTCGCCACTCATCTTTGCTTTTGCCATTTTTCTGACGCCCGTCTTCCTTTTCCATTTCGTGCAGTCTCCCGTCCGATATTTTGTACCCTTTCGAAAGAGTATCCGACGGTGCCGATCGCCAGACCGTGCGGTCGGTCGGTAGTTCCATCCCTTCAGAGGATACACGTTGCCAAAGGCGAAAGAGCGCGGGGGATGGTGGAAGGCTGATTCGAAACAGTATAGAGTACTTGTGACTTGGTTTGGATTTGGTTTCTTGTCTCGCTCACTGTCCCTTCTACTCACCTTTGCCACAATTCCGCCCCCTCCCCTCCCCCCCGGGGCGCCCGCTCGCCCCCTATTGCGTTCCGTGCCAGCCTTCCTTGTGCGATGCTTTTCCCCCTCATATAATCGTCCTCTCAAAGTTCATGTCCTCCCATAACAGCAGTCATCATTACAAAGGCTGGGTAGAATAGTCCAAGGTCCTCTTGTCTTCGTTTCTCCTCGGGTATGCAATCCTGCTTCTGTTATCTTCAGGTGCAACCCTGTCCATGCTTGCATGAGGCCCTGTGGTGCTGTCGTTCTCTTCCTGAGCGCACCCCCTCAATATTGCGCGAACCCCGCGAGACACAACGTCTTCACAGCGCGGGTCCCGTTTCACTATCTGAACCTCGCACTGCATCTACCCATAACTTCTCCCTGGCACACCAACTCAGCATTGAATTCAGAACCGTCCAGGGTGAGATAAATATCAAAATAGACACGGTAGAAAGTGCCTTGTGGGGTATCCATTCGCTCAAAGTCCTTCTCGAGGTTCTTTCTTGACAAGTCTGAAGTGAGCGTCACAACCTCCTTGATTCGGGGATCCTTGGTATATTCGGGACTGTCACGTAGTTAGCAACGCAATCTTGCCGTCAAAACAAGGTCCCAAGACTTACCAAACATCCTCATCGCAAGCGTACAAGATATCCTCGTACATCAGTGTTGCACCAGGTGCAACTTGTCTAAAGAACGAAACCTTGACTGGCTCTCCAATCTTGACTCTCTCCCCCTTCTGAACGAATATCTGTCTGGTGTATTTGCATCGGTCCTTGCCATCCAGACTGGGGACTCGGTATTGCTCGGGGTGATGACCTTCTTTGAATGGCTGGAGCGTTGCCATGAGGTAATGTCTTCTGGCCACACGAGAAGTGATGACTCGTTCGGTAATACCGGCGGTGACGGCGCCCTTGACAATTGCAGCCACGGAGTCCATAGGACGAACAACCTTGGATTGGAATTGGGGCGGCACGTGCAGCTTGATTTGTTGGAAGAGGTATTCGGAGGCACCAAAACCACCCACCACCAGGACGTTTTGTAACGATCTGTTTTGTGCTTGGATAGCGATGATCTGGTTGCGGACAAGCTCGAGAATGCGGTTGACGACCGGTTCGAAGCATTGTAGAATTTCTTCGTTGGTGAATGTCATGTAGCCTTCCTCAATGCCTGCTTCCGGGAATTCGGCCTCGATGCCGACGTCGACCGCCCACTTCTGTCCGTTGTTGCGGAAATCGGCCTTGATTCTGTTCTCAAAATCCATTATACACTTGGCGTACACCCGACCGGCGGTCTTTGACCCGTCAGGCAACTTCATCTTCCGAATCTTTGCACGAAGAATGTTGGAAAAGTTTCGGTTGAGAGCGGTAGAACCACAGGAGTCACCACTGCCAGCTGTGCATTCGGCCACGGTGAAGGGTGTCTCTTCTTCGACCTCGTACGCGATCAAATCCACTGTGCCGCCTCCACAGTCCACAATCAGGACGGCGTCATGGATCTTGAGGTTGAGAAGGCCAGTCTTGGAGCAGAACATGGCAGCAGCTTCGGGTTCGGTGATGAGGGTCAGTCTGTTGTCGTTCTCGTCTCGAATGAAGCCCGCCTGGATCGCGGCTGCTCTTGTGGCAGCCTTGCCAGCATCGTTCCAGATTGCGGGCACGGTCAGGAAGTATCTGATATTGCGCTCTTCGCGGTTGAAGACTTCGCCCAATGTCTTCTGTAGCTGGACTCGCATTGCTTGTCGAAGCTTGAAGAGGTAGTCGGCAGCGACATCGATTTCAGACTTCCCAGGCGGCAGGGGCGGCAGGTTGATGGGGTCTATGTATGTATTCCCAGAGAGCATGAGTTGAAGCTTGAACCATTCTACCTTTTGTACGCCGGGTTTAGGGTAGCCGGTGGGAGCAAGGGCGTCAGCGATATCGGGACCCCAGCCGACGACTTTCTGGTATTGGTCGTAGTACAGCACCGTGGGAATCTAGGCAAGTCAGTCTCCTGTCATCGCGCCCTGACACTGTGTATGTGAGCCCACCTTTTGCTTTGTTTGATTACCTGCGCCAGGCCATTCAGTTATGATATCCTCCTTGGCTTCTGTGTTGGTCGCAAATGCAAATGCTACACCGGAGAAGGTTGTGCCCTGCGAACAACAGTCAGTCCATGCGCTTGGTCACGACCGGGGACGTGTCTCACAAAGTCAATGCCCACAATCAACTGAGCCTTGCTCCTCCCTGCGCCCTCCACTTCGGCCGCGGGGCGCGCACCGGGAGGATATTGCTGCGCCATGTGCTGGATGCCCGGCTGAGGACCGAGTTGCTGATGTCCATAGGCACCACCATACCCTGGTGGTTGAGGAGGACCCAGTTGGGGTGCACCACCAACGTAGGCACCTGCCCTGGTATCGATGGGAGCGGGGTGATGGGCCATTTGGTTTTGTGGCGGGGGCATGGGCGACTGAGGGCGTCCCTGGACGCTATTGTAAGAGTAACTGGGAGGTCGACCGGGCGCAGCAGGTTGATTGGGATTCATGGGCGGCAAACTGGTCTGGGAGCTGTTTTGCGGCGGGGGAGTCCCAGCGGTCGAGGTGGACCCGTTTGGTGATGCTACTGAGGTCGAAGCGGTTGACGACGTTTGGATGTTGGCGCTGCTCTTTCGTTTGGAACCGAAGCCTAAGGACTTGAAGCGCGAGCTCATGACATCGACATCGAAAGGAACAACTGAAGGAGAAACAGCGAGTGAATGAACAAATGTTGTGGGTGGCAGCGGTGGTCGGCAGATTGCTAAGGCGAGTGAGACCGACGCTTGATGGGGGCTGAGCGAAGGAACGAAGGAGGACGTCCAACCACCGGGGACGTTACCAGCGCTGAATTGGTCGGTCGCAGTGCACGCGAAAGTGGCAGCACAATGTCGTCGACACTCGTGGAATTTGAAGAAAGTGAAGATGTCAACAGATGTCAGGAAGCAGGAGACCGTGCGTGCGGCTGATGGCAGAAAAGCGAAACCTAGCGAGCCACCCAGCGGACGGATACGGTAATCGAAGGTATCGCCCGTATTGGTACTTCCAGGTTGTTATCTACCGGGAGCGGTGCCTACGAGTCGTCGCCGCTTAAGATGAGGCTGACTTGGGAAGGATTCGTGCTCTCGCTTCACCGTTCTTCAGGCAAATGAGTTGTCCTTTGTCAGGGAATTGCAGTCCTGGTTGTGGAAGTTGCCTGTCTGCTTCTGGCCGGCCTAGCTCTTACAAATGTGACCAGCAGGATCTTCCACCGAAGATGAAAGAAAGACAATGAATGCACAAGAGTGGTGGCCAAGTTCGAACTGCGCTTAGCCTCTCCGTGCTAAGCTCTACTGCCTCCTGTGGTCCTGTCGTGTATTACGCCTGTCGGAATTAATGAGCTGAGTTGGGGGCCAATATGAGCAATGTTTCTCTTCAACGAACAAGGTGGTCACTTTTGGTAGGACCGATGAGGAGCAGTGAATCCATCTTGAATCGTCTCTTTGGCGAAGCGAGGTCTCCTCCAGCCATGTTTTCGACTCATGAGATCCTCCCCGTTGCGAGATACTGTACGGGGTACCGGTACCTCTAGATCTACACAGGATACACAATAGGGCTGACATCCCGCCCCCTCATTGACCTTCCTAGCCTGTGCTTGGCTGAGGTGTTCTCCGGTCTGCTGCCCAATCCAATCAAAAGTGCGCTTCACCTTTGAACAGATGTGCAGTCCGACAGTTTCGCTGTCCCACACCAGAGGCAAACCAGCACTGCCTGACCAATGCACCTTACATCTGATCTGCGAAGGCGCGCAAATCAGAGACGGTGGAGCATGCGGCTCGCCACGCTCTTTGGTACTCCATAATGACCATTCGACCTACCTCGATATCATTTGGAAGCGCCGCTGCTTGGTGGACTGGCACCGCCGTGAACTGCGCGATGCTGCCCTACTAGACCATGCATGCGTTCGAACAGAGCACTTACGCCACCACTATTTCTCCAACTTCTACCTTCAATGTGAACTTCGGAGAGTCACCCAAGAGTTGGGGTGCGACAGTCATTGGAAATGCCTTGCTCGTTCCACGCATGCTTCGCCCAGCCTGGATTTAGTCCTGTTTCAACCTCTGTGAATTTCTGTAGTGTTCCAGCCCACCCTGGCCTATGGATTTGGGCCCAGACCTCGTGTGGGAGGCTGTTGATTTGCAGATGCGAGCACCGATGGCTAGATTCCGATATGGACGTCCGACACTCGGTGCAAAGCCGAGTGAGAGCGATCGCTGGACTCTTCTCTGCCGATGAGCCCTTTCCGCCTCTCACTCATCGTCCGCTTCCGAATCTGTACCAGACTCCCACCCAATGCTGTAACTTTGGGCCATTTGTGTGAGGTCGTTGTATAGGATCTCTCTTTCGTCCAGCG